CTCAATCACGCTGCCGCCTATGGCATTAGGTTGGTTGCTCGGAGCAGCGGCGGACGTATTGTCGCAGGTATTCATTGATTACCACTACACCTTTTCAAAGGGTATAACATGGTGGAACCGGCAATCAGTTACTTGAAGCACGCAGGATAGACAGGTTGTGTAAGGTCTCGTTGATACAGCAGGAAAGCCCTCACTGTGGCCTCTTAAACACGGACTTTCACATGGCCCAGCATCCACTTCTGTCGCCAAAGTATGCAAAGTTTAAGGAGGCAGCTGTGACGTCTGCCATGCGTCAGTTGACGTCAGTACCTATGCGCCTATGGTCCGTATGCGGTAGCCACAGCGCAGCTTAGCACGTAAAGCGCACAGCGCTCTAAGTGGAAACCACAGGAACATGCGAAGAGCAACGCTTGCAGAATGACAATGCATACAAACTTGTAAAGCACTATAGCTGTTCCGTGAAGCGAACGTGAAACGTTCACACCTACCGATTGTAAGGGAAATCTCAAGGGAAAGCCTTACGAGGCAACCCTCAATTTAACGTCACTTGACCTTCTAAAAAGCAACGTTACGCACCTACAATTTAACCCGCGGCGGTACATATATGTTTATGCCGACTCACCATGGTATCCAGCACAATGTTGATGAAACCATCGTCCGCATACGTCGCAACTTATTCAATCCAATCGTTCACACCTCCTGGAGTCATCATCCACTTGCTGCCAGAGGGCAAACGGCGCTGTCCGCATCTTCACCAGCCGTCGCCCTCCTTATACACTAGGTGTTTGTGCGGTGACGAGCGGAAGTTGTTGTTTTCAGGGTACGCAGTTTCAATGGCCGTGATATCTTGCTGGGACCCGCGACCTGCACCACACGACGTATCGAACGTGTTTTCAGTTATGACGCCTACAGCCACTGTCAATACCCCCTCGAAACACCATGACTGGAACCATAGGAAGATCCCTTGAGTGTTACTTCTTGAGCGAATCAATGAGCCAGGAAATAATAACGTGCTAGCAGGTCTTGATAGACCTAAAAGGAAGCACCCGAAACACACCCTGATCAACCAAGTACTGCCCACGTTCCCTGCGCTAGCAGTCCCCGCTGTGTGGGTCACGTGAAGAAAGAAGTAGAAAGCAAATGGAAGATAAGGGGGAATGAAATTCATTTAAATGAAGGATAACACCAAAGATTGAAGAGAATGCCATAATATGAACTAAAAGTTGGAAGCTGGATATGGTCGGGAGAAGGGAAAGGTTTCTTGTTGCCAGCAGCGTCTAACTGAGGCTCGAAATCCTTAACCGTATTCTCACTGACTACACTTTCTGGAAGGCAGTTCCAGCGCCCGGGAACTCTATGCGATAACCGTTTCCGCCCTGATCCCGTCAGGACGCCGCTTGTGTAGCTTCATGGCATGACCGCGACGACAAGGCAACCTAGCCGGGCTAAATAGCCAGCTCAAGTCCGGTCCAGCCTTCCCTGTTAAATTGCTGTAATTAAGGATTACGTCCCTTCGAAGACATCGGTACTTCATCGAATACATGCACAAGCTAGGTAGACGCCCGGGATACGCTTGCCCCTGTAATCCTCTACCAATTTGGTACCTACTCTCAAAACCATCTCGAGCTCCATTTTGTCCCGAACAAGGCAGGGCGGGCAAGCTAGGACCGAAAGAAGAGAAAGATGAGAACAGCTTTACAAATAAGTCGATAGTAACGACCCCGAAAGAACGGCGTATTAAACAGAGCATTCTGAAATCTCTACTAGCGGCCTTCTTTCAGTTGTCACCAGAATGTAAAGACGAGGAATGGACGACGCTTAGGTCTACCTGGTTGGAGACAAGGGGAGTGCGACCCCACCGAGTACGTAGCTCGAAAGGGACAGAGTTGCACCGATACGAAGGACGGAACACTTAGCCTGATTAATGGGCAGTAGCCACAAATTAGACCAGTCCCAGAATCTGTCCAGAGCATGCTGTATGGCCTCAGAACCACCAGGAACATTCCATAGCTTAAGGTCCTCAGCAAACTATAGGGATGAGACTCAAAGCTCTCCAGGGAGATGGTTTACGTAGATGGAAAACAGCATCGGTCAAAGGACCGAGCCCTGTGGGACACCGCTAAGGACCGCTTGCCTAAAGGATAAGCTGCGACCCACACGTACACACTGCTCTCTTCCCTGCAAAAACGCAGATACCCAGTGAAGGGCGCGGCCAGATGCGCCGTAGGACCTCAGCTTGTGTGATAGCCTCAAGTGGGATACCTTATCAAATGCTTTCAAGAAGTCTACGTAAAGCACATCCACTACGTGGCCATGGTTCATTGCCTCTGCCCAAGCCTCACGAGCAACCCACAGAATCATAAGACACGAAAACGTTTTCCGGAATCCGTGTTGTGCACTACTGAATAGCTCAAGCCTAGTCAGATGGCCTTCCAAGGAAACTCTCACAAGCTTTTCAAGCTTTTAGACCACGACGCTAGCTAGACTGCCTTGCCTATAATTGGCTGACAGACTCCCGTCGCCATTTTTGAAGATAGAACAGATGACAGCCACCTTCCATGCAGAAGGTAATGTAAAGCTGTCAAGTGACATCTGAAACACCATCCTCGGCGGTCCACTTAGTTCCACCGCCAACTCATGCAGAAGCTTCATGCCTATTGAATCAGGTCCAGCTGATTTGGAAGGGTTCAGTTCTTGCAGCAGTTTAAGAACTTGATTTTCCACCACAGTAAACTCAGCCAAATAAGAACCCTCATGTACCCTGGGGACAAGTTTAACGCTAGTCAAAGCATCCTCACGTACAAAAGCCCCTGCATACTGCTCCCCAATTACACTAGCGTTATCGGAGTCCGCATACGCACAATTTCCAACTGCCCGCATCAAATTTGGGATTACCGAACTTGCACTACGACATCTCTTAACATAAGCAGAGAAATTCATCGGATTTTCCAAAGCTCAATCAGCTAATTCCTTTTCGTACAACCGCCGCGCTTACCTTAATTGTTGTTTACATCTATTTCTAGCCTCGCAGTATCTATCATATGTGCTATTTGATAGAGCCGCACGGTAGATCCTCAAGCACCTAGTCTAGTGACTTGGCAAAAACTAGATCCAAAATAGACTAAAGTTGGACATCCATATACATATTAGGGAGGTCCACGAACTGATGCAGCGGTACTGCAGCTTAAGCTCAAGAAGATCTGCACCGAAAGTACCTTCCGCCGAGTTGCAAGTAAGATCTGCCCAGCAAACTTCCGGTAGATTGAAATCACCAGTATCAAACACCTGTTTGCGGATTGCGCGCGAATAAAGTCAAGCACCTCTTTGGACACACTCCCAAGGCTTCTATACACATGTACAAGTGTAAGTTAAGCTGAGGAAGTGCTAATCGCTACCGACAGAGGTTAAACAGTTCTAGCTGCCGACTGTAACATCTAGGTACGTGAACCGTCAAGTTCACACCTAAAGCAAAGCACAACGCCCCCGCCTTGTCGGCCAACGAAGCGATCACATATAAATAGTGCGTAGTCAGACATGTATTTCACCGTCCGTGATGTTCCGAGACAGCCACTTTTCAGTGAATGCAAGTATATCGGGATGGAACGCAACTACAAGCAAAGGTATCTCGAACATCTTATTCCTTAGGCTGCGCACATTGCTTAGCACTATCCCAAGGTACTCGTACTGTTCAGCCTTGGGTCGTGCACTAATAGTACTGGTGCTGGTAGGGCGGAAACAGACCGCCGGCTGACCACCGGAATACCCACCAACCGGAGACTTTCTTCACTGGTCGCTCGCCTGGTTTTGAGGTCTTAATGGCCTCTTTTAGCTTCAGTCTAGCCGCTAATGGGTCTGGCTGAACGCTAACTTTAGTACCCTTCAATTTGAAGGCAAACCGCAAAAGCGCGTTCCGTTCCTCCGGGGTGGATAGGACTACAGCAAGTAAGCGCGGTCGAGGGTTAGGGGCGTTAACTGGGAGGTTACCCAATTTAGTCAGTTTCCTGACCATCTCTTCGCAACAGCTGCGTAACCTCCTCCACATCCGTGACACAAGCGTTAAGATGACGCCGCCGTATGTCATACAAATCGCACCTTGTTAAACGAATGTTACGTTGAAGGCGCCCAAATGCACGCATCTCTTGCGTGCGACGAAACGTCTTCATTAAGTTAAGCACCATGCTTTCCTGATCCGCTGTTAGCTGCTGATTTTCGCCTTACAGTCAACGCTTACCCACGTGAAAAGTGTGTGAATGCCAAAGACGGGCGTTTCCGATCTCGTAACCTTCCCCCTTAAAAACCGCTGAGAACCGCGCAGGGCAATGTTAACACCGGGACCTGTTAAAATATATACACCAGGCGGATAGGCAACACTTACTGCGTTCCAGCAACATTCGATCGCTTACTATGCACGCACACAAACGGAATATACAGGTATTGTCATCTTTCCAGCAGGAGCTGTCCAGTCTCCCATTGGTAAGCTTTCCCAGTTTTAACGCTCCGACCAATGAACGATGTCGCCATTTACATCTGAAAACGTTTCAGATCCTCATTCATCGATGAAAAGTCTACATATGGACCCCTGAATATACGTCTGAACGCACAAGATTCATCCATCATGGCTGCTTTCGCAAGAAGCGGGGAAATGATTAACCACCGTAACCCATTTTAACCGCTAACATTTATTGAATTCTAATCCTCCTCTTAGCATAATAACAATGACCTAACGTAATAATAAACACACACATGCGTCGGAAGGCTCAAAACTTTCCTTTATCAACATACAACCTTGTGTACCACAATCACACTGCCAAAAGATCATTGATCGCGATTGGCGGATCCGACGCTCCGCTAAAATATTTAAAGTAGTTACAAAAACGTGCTACCGTTTAGAAATTGTTGCACACACCGTGTTCATCCGCGTCATAAAAGGCGGTAACTACTATAAAAACAGCTTTTGCACAGAAGCTGCATTGCTTTTAATGCATCACATATCAAGCCGTGACCTTACGTTCACCTTGTTTAGCCGCTGGGGTCGAATGTTTTAGGAGCTTTCGCTAGCCTTGGTCAGCTGGTGGTCGGGGTTGCGATGTCCTGGTTACCTGTATGTCACTTATCAATGGTGCGAGTGCTTAATGGATTCTTAAATCATTTTCCTATAAAATAACTTTTTTGCTTTTCCTCATTCATTGCAGTAATGGAACTGAGTCCTGATTCTGATACGGACATCAAAGTGGATATTAATGATGCCGGGAGTGCCTACTTTTCAGATTCCGGTGTAAGCAGCACGCATTCTTACCAAACTAATGCGAGCAATTGCTCTGCATGCATTTTACCTTCCTCTCTCCCTGATGCTTGTTCGAAGATGGATCAGTCAGGACCTCTGTCTGTGAAAAAACCACTCCCAAATTTCCAAGAAAAATCCTTTTCTCGGCTCGGTACATATTTCTCCCAAGACATGGCGAATAACCCTTACATTCAAACGTCTAGGCACTCGTTTCCCCAAGGATTTCTTGCCCACCCGACATCAGTTTACAACTCTAATTACCCTTCTCATGGTGTACAAAACCATTTCTACAACAGGCACCTAGCTTCATCATCATTCTCTACTACAAGTGACTCGGCCATTCCGATGCAGCTCATGTTTGGTCAGGAATTACGTCTCCCACAACCAATGCTGGTGAACTCTGAACCACCGATCGGCTCCCAATGTTCCGAAGATGGACGCTATTCATCCCACATACCTGGTCGCGCAGAACCACCGCACGTATATAGCGAAAGTTTTCACATTTCTGCTGCTCAAACTCTTCACCTTGCAACTTCCCCACGCCATTTAGGTCTTGCTGGCGGACATTTAGCTCACACTGTTTGTGATGCAGCTAATGCTGGCTGTCTTTCCAAGAGTTCCCCGAGATCACTTTCGCCTAACATAGTTTGTGATCGTCCTATTGCTGATTGCGACCTTCCCCTTTCTGACTCTCGCGCCACTCTAAAGTCATCACGAACAATCGATAGAGGGTCAGAAGTAGCTGCAGCAGATAGTAATACGAAATCTTCATCTCAACCGTGCAGAGTGTGCGGTGATAAATCCAGCGGCTATCATTATGGGGTCATTTCTTGTGAAGGATGTAAGGTGAGCGTTGACACGATGTTTGCACTTTTCACTTTGCTTTGCCTTCGTTACGGATGCATTTGTGCACCACTCCAATTTCGATTTTTCTTGTGCATTTTTCACATTTTTTCTGCTCCCATGGTGTATATCAGTTTTAACCTAAATTGCATGGCACAACTTCCCACTGTAGATAGTACAGTGTGCTGTGGTTCGGTTCATTTCCTGTCGTGGGCACATAACGTTTTTGGAGCTCTTGCATCTGTCCATACGCTTTCATGCATTTTGGCCTTCAGGATTTGTGTATTAAGCAGGGTTCGTTATATTTGGCTTCATTACCGCCCCCTTTGTTGGCTGATACACATTCACTTTCAGTCTCCAGAATCATTCAGTGCATATTTCCCTTGCGTTCTGTTTGTGTAGAGTAGCATCGTCAGCACTCTCTCTGTCGCCACGCTGTTTCAGTTACTTTTTATCCCCGTGTTTAGCCAGTTAATATGCACTCTCTGCCTGCTTTTTAATGCTTCTGCGTCTATCTGCTCGCCAGGCTTGAATGTTGCAACAAAATTAGTTGTTTTGGTCTAATGAGATTCTTACAATCTTACAACAACGCAGTAAATAGTAGTAGGACGCACTGTCGGATGCGCTTGGATGAAGCGTTTATCGTAACCAATAAAATGATGCTTGAGTAGGTCTGTTTCTCTGTTGCGAAGTTAACCATTTGACCGGTGTTAAATAGTTCGCACACTTCGTGATTTTTCCTTTTAACTGCAGCAGACTAAACATGAATACTTCTTCAGGTGTACTCAGTCCGATACCAGCACACAACTGTACAAACTAAGGGCGCTCTGTGATCATGTTGTCCAAATTCGATGGTGTATTCGATTCATTCCGTTGCACCACTTTTCGATATCAGTTTCATCGTTTCATAATCTTGTAGAGCAGAAGGAAAAAGACGTTTGTCAGCTCTTTCACTTCCCATTCACTGTCTGGATGACGCGTGTGCCTTCACTTCCCATTCACTGTCTGGATGACGCGTGTACTTGCTAACCTGTGTTCACCAAGGGATCAACACAGCTGCAGCAAAAATAGTGAAATCCAGGCGTTCTCAGCATGAAGTTACCCAACCTCTGCTTGAAACATTCCTCTGATTACGCACTGACAACCTATTCCGAGAGGTTGTTCCATTGATTCACGACCCGTGACCTCGGAGCTGACTCGGAACCTTCGCGATTTAAACATTTTTTAACTGACCCCGTGTCGTGTTACCTACATTGAGTTGGAAGAACTTGCACATCCGTCTCCAAGTCTCCTTTTAGGATGCATCTTGTCTATATTAGGTCCCCACAGCGACGATGATATTCCAAAGAGAACAAGTTAATTCGCCGAAGTCGAAGCGGATAAGATAAACTACGCAGCAATGATACAGACTTGGTTTCACGTCGCCGAACCTTCTCAATTAAAGCGCACTCAAACTTTGTGAGAGAATGCAAAGCCGGTAGTCCATATTTACGATATTGGATGAAAGTGAGAAGGAAACAGGAGCTTGAAGATCTCAGGCGTCATTTTTGAAACTGACCGTATGGTGTAGAGTACGCTGTCGGCGGAGGCGACTTTCCGCAGCATATCCGGGATGGTTTTCAACTTAGGGGGATACAATCAAACCCAAGTTCTTCTCAGAAGCCGTGTTGCTCAGCACGGAACCACCAATGTGGTAGGTGCCGGAAGGTTCTGGAGAACCGATTGGAAGAACACAGCATTTTTCATGGTTGAAAGGTAACTGCCACTTAACAGACCAGTCGTGCAGCAAATCCAGCGTCGGTTGCAATTTGCCCGAATCTTCAAGCCTAGATACTTCTGACCATAGTTTAGATCATCAGCGTTGATCAAGCAGTCAGTTTGAATCACCTCTGGAAGGTCGTTGGTGAAGATTTTGTAAAGTTCAGAACAAAGGACTGCGCTCTGTGGAACCCCACTGGTCATAGGAACAGGTCCAGAAGGAACCGCATTGACATTCGCTCACATGGTACGACGATCCAGGAAATCAGCGATCCAGGAGAGAACATTGCCAACGATGCCAATTTTCCGGAGCTTGATAAGGAACAATTCATGTGAAACCCTAGCAAATGCTTTGCTGAAATGAACAAAAGCTACATCAAGACGATTACCGGAATCCACTGACTACGCACTTCTCGTGGCCAACAAGTAGGTTGGTGATACAATAGCGTGCCCTCCAGAAACCGTGCTGAGCAGGAGTAATGATGTCCATAGCCTCGAGATGAAGCTGAAGGGCTCTATTAAAAATCCTTTCCATTGTCTTGCAAATGATCGACATCAGACAGATCGGTCTATAATTCCCAGGATTCTCTCGGTTTCCTCCGTTGTTGGCTAGCTTCACAATACCTACTTTCCAATCAAGCGGAAGGCAGCCAGCCTTCAACGGGTGCCGAAGCAATTGGCAGATTGGCTCAGCGACATACTCAGCCACTATCTTCAATAACAGGATGTACTTCATCAGGGCCTGGTGAAGAGTTCGGGTCCAACTCAAGAATTCTCAGCACTATGTTCGTGGTAATTTCTATTTGCTCTAAAAGTGTGGGATGCATGGGCTCATAGTTATTGAATACCGTGGCTTCAGCCGAGTACACTGATGAATATTGCGAAGCATGAAGACAAGCTTTCGCTTCATCGTCATGAAGTATAGCCTCCTCACGTGAATACAAGGCAGGTACGCCACAACCTGCTTTAGCACTTCTTTTCAGGTACGAGAAGTGCTTTTTCGGGTCACTACAAGATTGCTCAGCCAGGCGACGCTCATATTGTTCCCGCTTCCTGAGTATTTTCAGTATACACAAATTTCTGAGCACTTTGTAATCATAGTCAGACGGTAACTGTAAGAACTGGAATCTGTCCCGCAGATTTTGTCTTCTATGCAGCCGGGTTCTCAGCTCTCTATCAATTCACAGAGAGCCTTTAGAGAAAGGTCTGTCAGCCATGGTTGGTACAACTTCCTCCACAATAAAGAGCAATTTTAAGCGAAGGAATTTTCGAGATCCAACTTCTGGGGGATACTCCAGTCCATAACACTTGCGGTCCTTTGTAGGCAGAGTGGATCGGCGCACCAGTAGTTCCGGCGAGGTATGCACCGGTTGTGAAGGGTGGGTCGTTTTGTTCATAGCAAGGAAAGCACACAATGATCACTTAACCCAAGTGGCTGGAGAATCTCTAAATCAGCTACATCGGATGGTTGGGACGGGAACATATGGTCGAGACTGTGTGACGTTTGGACGGTATTATTCAAATAGGTGACGGGGCATGTTGAGTCAGGCTGACATCGAGGACAGCTTCCAGTAGAACAGCATCGAAGGATTCTGGGGCGAAATTACCGTGAAGTAACTCTCAGTTGACGTTGGAGCATTGAAATCTCCCATTATTAAGTACTTCTTGCCTCTGCCGTGCATTTTGATCGCCTCCAGCACTCGGGATCCGGAGACCATTGCGGGTCTGTAGACAACACAAACCATGAGCGAATTGTGTCCATCGTGGACACGACGCCACAATGTCTCCAACCACCAACTGTATCACAAACAGCCTCTACTTTGAACCCTCAACTCGGACTTCCAGTAGAGTATGACGCCACTTTCAGATCTCGTATCAAGACGATCAACCTGGAAAAACTGATAACTAGGAAGGCCTATTTCAGAATCCAAAATATTCGGGACAGCCACGTCTCAGTAAGAGCCATCAGGTCAAGATGACACTGTAAAGTGAGGAGACGAAACTCATCCATTTTGTTTTTCAGGCTTCGCACATTGGTGGACATCATACGCAATCCAAACTTATACCCTAGAGCCAGGTTGCGACAAAGACTGGATGCCATCGACCTTTCGGAATCCATTGAACTACACGATAATCCACAATACGAAGATTAGCTTTACCATTGACTCGGCGGGTCTGCATTCTATCAACGGCGTTCTGTAGCTTCACTCGGTCTTCAGGGCAGAGATCCCTCAAGACATGGAATGTTTCGCCCTTAAGGCGCGAAGTTCGCCTGAGGATGTGACGACATTTCTCTTCATTTTGACGGACGATTTTCAGCTGGCTGGTGTTTGCTGATCTCCTTACTGCTGGTCTCCAAATTGGTGTAATCTGACAGACAGCACATCTGACTTAACATGGGCTTGACGCTGATACAGCTATTGCTCTCCTCCCTTTGATTATTACTGCAGCTCTTTTTAGTTGACAATTGTTGTATACTTTCCGTTTGTTTTCCATTGATTTTTTTTGTTTACAAGGGAGTAATAGGGGAGTTTAATGGCACAAGAAGTTCGTTTCTGGCTTTCATCGTTTTGATCTTTTAAACCGCTGGATGCAGCACACTTCAGATCTCGGATCATGGCTGGTTAAACTACCTGTTATTTTGAAACGTATCACAAAATCTTAATAGAGGTTAATGAGAATCACTTATTTGCCACGTAGAAAAGTTTAATAGTGAAATTAATAAAGCGTACTTGAATGGCGCGTCAGTTAATACTGCAATACTGCGGCAATTTTTCTTTGTATGAGCTTACTACATCAGTTAACATGCTTTTGGCTTGGCAACTATTACGTTAATCAGTATACTACGGTGGGTTATCAGCCTGAAGTTATGGACTAACACTTCGCCTTAGAAACATCTGTCACCTATGCGTAAGTGTAAGCTGAGCTTCGGTCAGATTGAAGCTGTATTTTTGTCTTCCCATGCTTCTCCAAATAATGGAGCGTTGGTAAACGTCTAGTTGACTACCGACCATCGTTTTCTTAGACATGCGAGCTGCGGTTGACCCATTTGATTAAGTTTCTCTCTAGAGTCACTTATTGAAAACAGGAACATCCGAAAAGTATGTTAAGTCCAAAAAATGTATACTCCACACCTCTTCCTTTGTATGTTTTTATCACGTTGTTCAGCCCCTTTCATTATTATCACTGACGTGAGATGGCTGCCTAACATCACATTTCTATTCATTTTCGTTATAATTGATATC